AGGGGAAGGGGAAAGGAAAAGAAGGAAAGGAAAAACTATGAGAAAAGAAAAAAAAATGGAAATGAAATCTATGTAAATAGGGAAGTGTGGAGGGGGTGAAGGGGGCACAGGTAATGGGGAAAAAAATAAGAATCAAGATACATCATGTACAGATACAAGCACCCAGTGATAAATGTAAACACATTGTATACCTAAAGTGTACCAATAAAATATACCAATAAAATTAATTAAAAAAAAAAAAGAAAGGCTGACGCATTTGCATCCTTGAATCTGCAGTGAATGGAATCTTGATAATTCCTGAGATGCCTTCCAGGCATCTTTTTCCTTTTTCCTATACAAACTACTTGGTTTCTTTTTAAAGGTACTATTCTCTGTAGCAGCCACACCTCTTTTGGTCCCAACTACACACATGGTTCCTTCTAGCCCAAAGTTTGATTTTTTCAGTCTTCTCCTCTGCTTTTTTCCCCAGTTCTCACTATAAATCTTATTATAAGCAGCCAGCAGTACCCATGCCTGAGTGTTAGGCTGTCTTGAAATTTTCTCTCCAGATTAGTTAATCCACACCCCTTAGTCTCAGTCTCTTGCAAAGTCTCAGGACATGGGCAAAATGTAGCTAAATTTTCTGCCAGAGTATAACACAAACGGCGTCTAGTACAACTGCCAGTGGACTCCTTGTTCCCTACTGAAACTTTCTGAGCCTGGCCTTTACTCTCTCCATTCCTACCCACATTCTGGTCTTCCAAGCTCTGCCCAAAATCACCCATCAAGCTTTATTTTTCACATTCTAACTCTTCTGTAGCCCACATCTCTAAACCTTTCCAAACTCCCCCTGCAAACTAGTACTAAAGGCTTCTAAACCATGTGGTCAGGTATACTCACAGCAATGGCTCCAATCCTAGCACAGAGTTTTTATATTAGCTTTCCCATTGCTGGACACAATAGCCAACACTCACAACTTTCAGGAGTAAAGGTTAACTTGGCTTACAATTTCAAGGAATTCAGTCCATGGTGGCTGGCTTTAAGTAGTGGTGGAAGGGCTTGGTTTTAGTATAGCAAACCTGCTTAGTTCAAGGCAGCCAGGAAACATAGCAGGGGAACAGTGCCAAAAATGAATGAGTGAGGACACAGCTCCATGTTCTTTCCAGACACATGTAGGAATGTGCTTTACTAATCTGCTAGGCATTTCTTTTTCTTTCCTTTTTCTTTGGTGGTACCAGGGATCAAACTCAGGATCTTATGCTTGCGAGTCAGGCAGCAGCACCACTGAACTAAATCCCCAGCCCAATTCAATCAAATTGACATGTCAGGATTAAATGTCATAGGAGGAATGCTATGTCCTCAAGGTAGATGAGCAGAAGAGAGAGGACCCCCTTCATTAAACCCTTTTAAATAATGGCATTAACTCCATTCATGGGACCACAGTCTTCGTGGCCTATGGACCTCCCTTTAGTTCCCATCTCACAATAATGTTGCCTCATGGTTAAGTTTCTAACACATGAAATTTAGGGCATGCATTTATATCATACAACCAACATGGATCCCAAGGCCCTGTGGAATAGGCCTTTGTCTTTCTTTGACCATCTTGTGCTTTAGTCATATAGTACTTTAATCATACTGACCACCAGTCATACTGACCATCAGCTGATTTCAGTCCATAGGTATTTGCAAACTTATTAATTGTTGAAGTCATATGTAGTCATACTGTAGCTTTACAGTATCAAAAACTGTGGATATATGTTGTTAGTCAAATTTCCATCATTGTAACAAAATACTTGAGAGAATTAACCTATAAAGAGAAAAGGTTTATTTTGGCTCATGCTTTTAAAGGTTCCACTTCATGATAGGGCAGACTCATTGCTTTTAGGCTTTTGGTAAGGGTGTCATATGCCATGCCAGGGAGTGCATGGCAGAGCAAACTGCTCACCTCATGGCCAAGAAGCAAAAGAGAAAGAATAAGGGATCAGGGATCCACAGTCTCTTTGAAGGGCACACACCCAGTGACCCAAGGACTTCACATAAGGCCTCACATCCTATAGGTTCTACTGCTTACTAATAGTGCCACTATGAAGACCAAATCTTTTAACACATGAACCTTTGGGAGACATTCAGCATTCAAATACAGCTTGTGTATTCTGTGGTCTTTCACAGATTCTGGCTCATGGGATGCATATAATATGTACATCAGTTGTTTTGTAACTGACTCTGTTGTGTTGGATTTAAACATAACATATTCCATTGGGTAAGGGGAATTACAATTACTGGGAAAGAAGCTCCTTTACCTTGCCTAAATATTAGGGTCTAGAATATTTATAAAATTGTAATTTGCCTTAAAACAATGTGATTTTTAGCTTATGTTTTATTTCCTCTTTCCTTGTTGACAGACTTTTGTTAGAAACTAACAATTCTATCTTCCTCCTGAAAGTCTAGAGGAAGACATATTTCCTGTTGTACCAGAGTTCTTCCTGTCATTAATACAAATTAATATTTATCTTAAATATCATGATTTTAATTTTTTGAGATACCAATAACTGGATACATGTTTTTAGCTTTCTGTCTCTGTAACAAAATACCTGAGATAATTAATCTATAGGGAGAAAAGGTTTACATAAAAGTCACAAGAAACTTTAAAATTTGTCTTTCTTTTAGGTTTTTGGACACACTGGATATTTGTCTGCTCTTTCTTAGGCAAACCTGATTCATGAAATGGAATGAAGCTGAAAAACCATCTACGTCTTTGTCTGTGAATTTGCAGTAAGATTGGGATGGTCTCAGGTGCACACATCTAGACTACCTGCAGCAATGAGTTCAGACGAGAAGGGCATATCCCCTGCTCATAAAACGTCCACTCCAACCCATAGAAGTGCCTCCTCTTCAACATCCTCCCAGCGGGACAGTAGGCAGGTAAGAGAAGGGTATAAAGTACATGTACTGTCTTCTGCAAATATTGTACCATTTGGATAGGAGGTAATTGCTAATTAATTCTGACATTTTGTTGTAAAGTCTTGTATTCCTGAGGAAAACTCATTATTTTCTGTAGATACCTCTGATGGTTCGTGAAGCTTCTCCTCTTGCTTTTCTGTCATTTAGGACATACAGAATGTAGAGCACAGAAAGGGAACAGAGTGCCTAAGGGTCTTTTCATTTTCTCTCTGTGGAGGGGATCTGATTATCAGGAACTTGAATGTTCTGCTTTCTCTCTCTGCATTTGTGGAGGTGAAGAGGATCTATGAGACCATGAAGCACATCTTTCTCAAAGGCTCTTACTAGTCCACCAAGCTCCAAACTCTGTGTGGGGTTCCATGGAATCTGCTAACAGTTAGATTCAGGAATTAGGTTACAAAAATTGTAATAGAGAATTGAAAGTAGTGAGAATTCAACAATTTTTAAAGGCAACAGAGGGATAAACTCTCATTGCTTGATTATGGTGGAAAACATCCAGTGGCCCATTTAAGCCAATTCTGTAAGTTATTTTTGTTTACAGTTGCTACATTACTCTCTTAGTGATCCTTTTTCTGTTGCCTGGGTTTCATTAAGATTAATCGTATGAATGATCTTCTTTGTCAAACAGTGAAGCTGCCACAGATCTGAAAATAACTATTTTCCATTTTAATATTGTCTTGTGATAGTATTTGGTTGTGTAACTAGACATTCACAAGTAGGTGAAGTTTTTATGAAAACTTTCCATTAGGCAACTTTCAATTAATGAACATTCTTTCAGGGTCCCCTCATTTCTCTCTGTTCCCACTACCGTTTTATGTGTTCAAAGCATATTGCCAAACTTCTAGAAGTATGTACATCATTTTTTTTTTTTTGGTACTGGGGATCGAACTTGGGACCTTGCACTTTCAAGGCAGGTTGTGGAACCACTGAGCTAAATCCCTGACCCTGTACATCAGTTTTTAATAGGCCATCATAGGTATGAGTCTTGAGACAGCCAGTTCAAATGTGAATTCATTCTTCTAGATAGTGGGAAATGCACTGCTGGGAGTGCCCTCAGTCTCAGAGCCTCTTGACATTTCCCCTTCCCATTTCTAGCAAAAGATTCTGGGGAAATCTGTAAGAACCAGGAATTTTTATTTGTGTATCTTTCACAGGTCCTAAGGCAGATATTTCCACTACAGGATTTTGGGAAATTTTTTATGCTGGTGTCTTTTGGTACTGAATTCAAAGAGCATGCACATATAGACTGTTAAGAAACCTATGATTACACATAGTTAACAATACTTACTGTGTTCATAGAGCCAAAGAAGAAATGCCATGAATGAAATTGTTGTATATTAAATAACTACTACTTGCTGAGATGCCAAGTTAGCAACTCCAGTCTACCCTGAACTTGTTCCGATTCTCTCTCTCTTTTTTTATGGTTTTTCCATTTTTCTCTTGCCCTGGGCATTAAAACTGGGAGATGTTTTAAGCAGCATGACATCCTGGCTGCTGCTGGGGTAAAGGAAGGGATCAACCCAGCTCGCCCTGGAGACTTGTGGCAAATTAGAAAGACTGATGACTGCTGAGGAAACATCTGTCATGCATTGTTGATCTGCCTGTTGCACCTGAGCTCCAGGGCTAGCATACAAAACAACAGGGACAGCAGAAACCCTGGACTGCCAGAGGGAACATGAAGAGGGAATGTGTGACTCCCTACTGGCTTGTGAGTGGAAAGTTTGATGATGGGAATGAAGCAGCATGTGTGTAAACTGATCGTGAATTCCAGACAAGAGACACTGTGCAAATGGCTGCTATTTTTTTAGGATAATTTCCTTTCAGTCCTGTTTATTTTAGCAGGTGGAAACTCCCCCAGATACTTTCTCCTCTGGTTTCTTCCTGCTGTTCCTTCTCCTCCTGTTTTGTATCTGTCCATCTCCCTATAGGGGAAGAAGAGTGAAAAAGAAAAATTGTAATTCTGGTTTTTTCCCCTGTCTCAGTCACTACCTAACACTCAGAATGAATTTATGAAACCAGAAATTTTGAGTGACCTATGAGGTGACATAATATGAGGTGGTGCTTTTTATGTGCATCTACTTTTGTATGATAACTTTTTTCATAGTAAAAGGACGTAGAAAAAGTGTGGTAAGTTAGTTGTCATTGTATCCTCTCCATTCTTCCGATCTGACCAACAACTATGCAGAGGGTGCCAAAGTCCAACCCTGTTCTCACATAAAGGATCCAGCACGTAGCTATGAACACAGTGGTGTATTTTGATGTACATTATTTGCCCGTCCTCCCCAAATCCTAATCCCCAACCACTGATGAACTGATTGAACACTGCTACTTATATGTACCACTCTCTGATTGTGCCTTAAAGCTGTGTGTATAACGCAGTTTGGTGTCAGGATAACCATTTCCTCAGAGACTGGGGCTCAATGGCATGCCTTTCACCTTTGCTTCTCACATATTCCATAGGTTAAGTCCTATTGATTGTTTCTTCCTCTGTAATACCATCATCTTCCATTTCTCCCTTCAGCTCCTGGCCCAGACTCTCATCACCTCTGCCCAGGGTCCTGTAGAGTACTCTTACCTCACCATCTCCCTCATGACCTCAGCATCACCATTCCCTGAATATGGCAGATTCGTGCTCAAAAACCTTCAAAGACTCTCTGTTACCTACACAATTAAAGTGAGATTTCCTTACATGGTATCCAGCAATCACCATGATCCGGTCCAGCCTCATATCCCATTTCCTTCTGTGCCCTCTGGTCTGCTCGTGATTGCTAAGCCTGTCCCACCTCCACCTCTGCCTTGTCTTTTCTACAGGGAATTCCTACCACCCTCCTCGCCACCTGATGCCTCCCTGCACATCAAGGGCCAATCATGTAACACTTTCCCCTGGCCACCCAAACCCACGTTAGCTTCTCCCTTCTCTGAACTTTATGACTTTGACTTTTTTGTACTATTACCTGTATATGTTTTGATCTCAATTGTACCAGGAGCTCTTTTAAACAGACTAAGTATTCTGATTATTCAGAGACAAACTGTGCACCTCAAATGTTTTAATATATCCTGGAGGATATTTTTTAAAAACCTGCAACAATATTAGTCTGTCTTGTATCATAAAATTTCCATTCCATCCAGATTTATTTGTCCTCTCTCCTCTTCCTTCTTCATGGGTAAATAAAACAAAGAACATCTGCACATGGTAGCAGTTGGCTGTCTTTCCTGTCACCAAGTTATGTGGGATAACAAATGAAGGAGGGAGAGGGGTTGGGCACGAAGTGACTCAGTGCCCTTGTGATTTCATGAATATTCCTCACCAGTGATAGAGTCAAGAGTCCATTAGAAGACTTTGATAATTGTTTCATTTATGTTTCACTTAAGTATAACATGAGATATTAGGACTTCCAACAAAATTGCCTCTGTGTGTGTATGCTCATCTATGACTCATAAGTTTATATATATATATATATATATATATACACTATGTATATGATATGAAATATATGAAAAGAGTTGTCAGATAAATTTGAGAAATGCTAAACAAAATCTCTTTTCCGATGCACATTAATAAATTAATGGAAACACTATTGACTGGGCTCAGTAGTGGCTTCCAGTTTAGCTGGCACATTTACTTTCTGATAGGCCACAGTCCTCACTTCTTATTGGTATCAATACTTATTTATGTTGACTGTCGGCTCCTGAGAGCATTCAGACTTGTGATTCTTGATCCTGGATGTCAGTGAGAAGTCAGTCGTGGTAATATTTAACCTACCCAAGGAGATTTTCACATGCATGTTAAGAAGGCATCTCAAAATTAGTGTGTCCAAAATTGAACTATTTCCATTTCAAGTCTGCTCCTTCCCAGTTTTTTCTCTCAGTAAGTGACTAATCTGTCCTTCCAGTTGGTATGTGCAGAAACCTGGGAATCATCCTTTATTTCTCTCCTTTCTTATGCTCTGCTTCTATACCATTAGCAAGTCCTGGCAGTTTTACCTTCATGATGTACTTGGCACCTGATCGCTGCCAACCACCTCCTCCACACCCAGCCTGCTCTGAGTACTGTCATCTCTCATTTGCACCATTGCCATCACTTTCTACCTGTTCTTGCTGCTTTTACCCTCACCTAACATGTAGATAATTCTGTACAGAGCACACTAAATGTTCCCTTCAAAACAAGTCTAACCAAATTGGTTTCTGAACATCCTTACTGTCTCTATTAGTGTTCCTTAAGAATAGTTGTATCTATGATTAAATCAGGGTCATATTATGGTAAATTTAAATTGTCTTTTTGCCTCCTGATAGTGTTCAGGACACTCCACTCCAAAATATGGCAGCTTGGGATTTGAGGAAACAGCAGAAGAAAGCCCTAACAGAATTCTCTGAGCTTCCTCTGAGGTAGATCCTAGGACTAATTCCAGAGGTACCCTTTCTGTGCCTGCAGAAAAGGAGCATCTTTATCCTCAGAGACAGAGATGTTGAGAAGCATCTGAACAAACAGAACTTGCTAAATGTCCTCCAGTGTATTACCATTAGATCACACCCTTTTGTCCGGTTACATTTTTGCATGATTGTCTAGTCTTTATCGAACATAGCATTAAAATACACAGGGTCTTCTTTGGGTCTTCATTTCTGAAGGCTCTGTGTCATGTAAAACTTCAAATTTGTAGGCTTTTCTCTTGTTAACTCTTTTATTTTGTTTTAGGGGTCTCAGATAGTGAACCTAGTGAGGGGTACGGATAAAAATCTTTTCTCTCCTACTTTTAAAGTGACAAGAGGGCAAGTGGTGGCATAGGGTAGGCACAGGAAATCAGAATATGTATATGGTGATGTTTAAGGTTAATGTATCAAGGTCATATGACTTTGTCTCCCAAAGGTTAAGGGAATGCCAAATCCTTACTATATTCTGTGGAGACTTCATAGTACTTTTGCTATGACTTACAGCAGTAATCATCAAAATATTTTTGTTTGAA